TTTTTAGCAAATAATCCAACATAAAACAAAAATATCAAAGCAGAACAAAGCCACAAATTTACCAAAAAAAAGGAATAGCCTGAAGCAAAGCTTATTATTGCCTACCCTGTTTTATACTTACAACCTTTACAACCTACCAGGTTTTCTTTTCTAATTTGAGGTACAACATTAGATCAGACATCCATTCAGATCATTTTGGTTGGCAGAAGGATTTCCAGTGTAAAAGAATTAATCTTCTAGCTATCAAAGTTGAAAAGTCTATTATATCTTTGAACCTAGAGATACCCATACCATCAAGTGGTATTGTTCCAAAAATGGAGGTATACATATTAGGCTGACATTCTATTCCTATGATTTCAGATATCGTTTTATACACTCCAAAGGATGGCCCTGACCAAAACATATGTGTTAAAGTTCTAGGGGCACTATGACATCTACTACAATTTTCATCCACATTCTCAAATATCTCTGCCAGTCTAGCTTTAGATTAATGAATCCTGTGTAAGATTTTAAACCGGATTAAGGCTAAACGTGCCCAGGATGTAGTCCCATTCACCGTACGCACAGCCTCTTCCCATATGCCATCTGGAACTGCCTCTCCCATTTTATTATACCACTTAATTTTCTAGATTTCTCTAGAAATGAGGCCCAAAGTATTGCATTTTTAAACATTAACTGTATAAAATCTCTGCTTTGATTGTGGTGAGTCACGCCGTAATGCTGCTGGAATCATATTTACAGCTTAAGGATTAGAAGTATTTAAATTTTTTTGATTTTTTTTTTACATTATCTCATCAACTCCGACCAATTCATTTGTATGCTCTAATGAAACGCATCCTTGGATGATCCTTGGCGATGTTTCGGGATAATGTCCACTGTTAGCTCTCTGTTTCACATGGCTTTAAGTCCTTTGGTCTCATCTGACCTGTTTAGACGTCATGTTTACTCATAGAAAACCTCTACCTCTGTTCTGAGAATAAACTACCCAGTCACCCAACACACTTTTCAGGTTTTCTACGGTAAATTTAAGATATTTTTTGGTGTGTGGCTCTAATGTGAAAAAAGGTTTTTCCAGAGTGTCTCCATTTTTTTCGTTTCCATCCGACAAGCTGATGTGTGCATGTTTAACATTAATGGTGCTCTGAAGTGCTTTTTTTTTTTTCCTTCCATCATCTGTGAAACATTCATGCTCGTTGGGTTTCCATCAATCATTGAGGCTGGTTTTCAGTTGCTAAATCTGCTGCTAAAATGTGACCAGATCCACAAGGCGTGTTCCCAGTCAAACCTTTGGAGCCCCGAAGCGAGAAGAGGGAGCAGCTCAGCCTTCGGTTTAACGTGCTTCACTAACAGACAGAACGCAGCAGTAATCTCTCTTCTTTGCTTTCCTATGCTCCTTTTCCAACAAGCACGCCTTTCATATTATGGTGGAGGTAAGAGCAGTTTAATTGACGTTCTTTCGGGTTAAGGTTCCAACCTCTCCACCTCAGTTCTGCACCACCGTTTTGTTTGCTTTTGTCCAGCACCGCCTTGCTTACTCCAGCTCACAACACCCCCCACCCCACCCTCCCTCCCCTGCCTGGATTAATTGCATGAATGGATGTCTTTTGTTTGCTTTTGTGCATGCAGGAAAGTAGCCAACACTTTGAATGCAGCCCCAAGTTTTTACTTTTACAAACGTCCACTTGTGATGTTGATGTTTGTCATGTGGCCCACTTTTAAGGGGTTTTAGCTTATTCTACAGAAATAAGCACATCTTAGAGGACAGATTAGGTTTGTATAAACTAATTGATCTCTGGGCTGGTTTAATAGGTATAAGAAAATTTTTTTGGGGTTCAAAATTGTCATAATCCATGGATTAATGTTCAGGTCAGCTCCTTTTCTTTGGAATATAACATCCACCAGATATTTCTGAAACCAAGCTGGGTGTTTTGATTTATTTTTGCATCAACGTCTGCATTAAAACCCAAAGTAGGCGAATCCTACGGAGCCTGAAGGAGTCGTTTTCATGTGACAGACGGGGGCTGTAACCCGACTCGGCCATAAGAGACGATTATCGGTTTGGGAGAACGGTGTGAAGCAGCAGTTTCTGTTTTCCTGTTTCCTGTGGTCTGCTGACTGCGTGTAATCTGCGCCCTTCGACGGCCTTGGCGCCCTGCGATCGGACACGGATCCGGTGGCTCCCTTGCCGGGCCGAGCCTGACACCCCAAAGACGGATCGTGATTTCTAGAGGCGAGGAACTCTGGATCAGGAGCAGAAAACCAGAAGCTGAGCTGCTCACACTCAGGCTGCCGCGCTGGAATTCACCATTAAGCTTAATGATGCAATTTTAGCACCTTCATGGATCATTACCGTTTCTCACATCGCATTGGTTGCACTCCATTAATAGGAATTTCTCCTGGTGGTTCTCTGGCGGACTGACGAATGATTACAATCCAGCCAGGATGCTTGGAGGCAATGGCTGTCCTTCTTGTTATGCTTTTGGAAACTCAAGTAGCACTTCAGCTGCAGCTTACATTCCTCAGTTCTTGGATGATCGAGCAAATAAAACAGCCTGGAATGTGTGAGGAAAGATGGTTTTAAAAGTGGCTCTAAGGGGGTCCATGAATACCAAGAATCCCACCATCTTCAGTGACAGGAGCTGTGCCCTTCTAGTTCATCTAGTTTTATCATTTAGGTCCAAACTGGACCTAGAAACCTGCCAGGTTAGGGTTAGGGTTAGGGTCATCTTTGTCTTTTGATTATAAAATCTGGAATAGAAGTATTTTCAGCCAATTTTCCTGAAATATGGCCAAATGGCACAAATTAAAATGATCTAAAACTGAATTTGTCCATAAAAAGCCGATTGTAAAACGATGGGACTCCAAACCAGATAATTAATTTCAAAGGTTTCGTCCATTGTAGACGTCTTTGAATTTTACGGTCTGATTCTTTCTCTTCCTCGTGATGATCACACATTAACTCAACTCCTTTAAGTAGATCCATTTATTTGGGAGAGTAGGAACTTTATCGGTCGGAAAAAATCAAAACACCTACCGGTATATAAAATACTTTAACAGCTACTGTGTTTAGCTGTTTAATTAGTTTAGATTTTGTAAATATTCCCTGCTGCAAAGAGGTTTAATTGAAGGCTTAGACACGGTGGGGAAGAATTATTCCTAACCTTCCAGATATCCTCTATTTTTCCCCCTCATTTAACTATTATAAATCAAGATGATCAAACAGACTGAGTTCTTAAATCTTTCGTTATTAAGGGATTAAAAAAAATGGGAAATTGACTTACTCCCTAAACCTAATAACTAGTTATACCACCTTTAAGGTGAAGCTTTGGCCACCTTAATTGCATTTGTTGTCAGACTTTGACTTTGACTTTTTTTTTTTATACATATATTCCCCCCTGCAATTTTTTCCACCAATTGAAATGTGTTTAAATCCACATTAACATGAATTCAACACACTGTAGTAAACAGATAAATGGAGGCAGAAGATGTCTTTCAGTCATCAATGCACACATTCAGCGACACACAGGAGCTCTTTCAAGGCACCGTTTCATTCACAGCACCTGTCCCATCAACCAGGAATCAGAATCAGAAATACTTTAATAATCCCAGGACGACATTACTTTTGTTACATCACTCCATATAGTGACTATAAGATCAGTTTGCCATCAGTTTAGGGGTCATAGGCCTGGAAAACGTTGTAGACTCCTGGACTAGGCCGTTGAAGTCGTTGTGTGATTTAATGATCGACTTGCTGATCTGCTTTGCAACATGTCCTGTTATATAAACCATTTATGCTTAAATAAAAGGAACTGGTGGAAGAATATTCTCCTTCAGGATTTCCATGCATAGAGCAGAAGTCTTGCTTCCCTCAATTTAGCTTGTCTTGAAGGTTGAGATGCAGGAAAAGCAGACCCAGACCATCACATTACTAACCCCATGTTTCACTTTTGATAAGATGAAGCAAGTAGGACAAATTTCATCAGTTCACAAAGTATTCACACATCTACAAGAAGTTCTTATTTTTGGCAAAGCAGAATTGGTCTTAAATGTCAGGATTCCTTTTTATCCCTCTCACCTTACCTGAGGCAGTCAGGTCTACAGTGCTTTAGATGCTCTGTTTTGACCTCTTGGAAAAGTCATGGAAGCGCAGTTGGAGTCATTTTGATAGACTGGTCTCCTAAGAACATTTATCACTGTTCCTTCTTTTCTGATTTTGTGGATAATGTCTCATAACTGGGGCTTACTGGAGCCTCAAAGTTAAGAAAACGGCTTTATATCTTTGTTTTTCAACTGGTCTTAAATTATTTTTATGGATCTTTTTTCTGCTGCCGGTTTGGCAGCAATCACGCTCTCTGATACTAATGAAGAAGTCACCTTTCTATAAAATAAAGTTAATCACCGTTTTTATTTTGTTCATGTAGGTCAAAGTTGGTTTGGATGAATTTTCCTTAAATAAAAAACATTGTTCTAGCTTCATAAAGAGGGGATTTATTTAGCAAAAGAGCATTTTTATTTTTCTTTATAACTTAACATAGAGGAATTTAATGAGAATGAAACATTAATCTGCCTATTTTTGTATCCTTCAATCAACCTAAAATCTATAGCTACATATAAAGCCACAAGACCCTTTTTTAATAGAAAGTATAATATTTAATATCAGGATGAAGGTTGTGATGATAAGGCATGATTTTTTTCTTCATTGAAAGAGGTTTATGGCTATATTTATTTAAGTTTGCCGTGATTTTCTGATCTAATGCGTCTGTTTAATGATGAGCTGCCGGACAGCAGTTCCATCTGAATGAAGACATGACGTCAGGCCGGTTAGAGCAGGAAAACTCCACGTATCTGATTTTAAATACTTCAGAATAAGGAAACTCTACTGGAAACAGATGCAGAGAGATACTGTGTTCTTATTCCGGTAAATAAATCATGTCTGTAAAGATGATGTTTGTGGTTTTTGATTGCGGCACCATGGAGGTCGCTGTGAAACCCAACCTGCTCGACCCAGCGGGTCATTTTCACCCTGATTTGGCCTCTGTTTGGTGTGAAAGCGGCATGCAGACAGCAGGTCTGCCTCACAGCTTTCTGAGAGCTTAAATAAACATTGAAATCCTTTGCTCACCCTCGCACTCACCAGGGCAGAGCTTGCAGTCCCTCCCCACTGCATCTTTTCTATAAAAATACACATAAGAGGAGGGCAGTTTTATTCTTTACCTTTTGATTATTTTCTTCCTGCTTTCACTGAAGTAACGTCTCAATCGTTTTTTTTTGTTTTTTTTACCCGCTCTGCTTTACTTTGTTCAAAGGCCAAAACTCTTGCAAACGGTAGAATTTCTGCTTGATCAAAAGCAGTGATAAACACTCCTGCCACTGAGCTTGTTTCAGTGATCCTGTCAGGACATGCCGTATAAACTCTGATGTCTTTCCTTTACTATGTGCGCAGTTTGGCTCTTGGTGAGCAGGAACGCCGAGGTTCGGTGCCAAACTTCACCGGTGAATAAATCACAGGTCGTACGTGTCGCCTGAAAATCCTCCTTTTATTCGTCTGGAAGCCAAAGTTGCTGCATTGGGGGGAGTTTTTGCCATCCATTAAATCACCTTGGTTTGATTCTGAAACTGAAAGGTTTTTGTTTCTTTATGAGAGGTTTGAAAAACTGACTCTGCCTGCCAAGCGTGCTCTCCTGATATATCATCCCTGTCTCTCAGTAGATCCCGTCGAGGCCTGAGGGACTTAAAAGTTGCTCCAGTTCAAGTGAAAACACGAATGTCTTTATAGGCCAGAAGCTCTTTTTTTTTTTTTTTTCTTACAGAGGCGAGGAGTTCAAGCTGAGATTTTACAGCAGTGTATCTGGTTGCATCAAAGGCCATCAGTCATGTGCTCGTCTTTCTCCTCCACCTTTTATCCCTTCGGAAATGTGACTCCAGCACTGCATGCTTCTTTTTAACCTCCCCTCTCCTCACTGTTTCGGCGTCCGCCGTCGTCCTCTGTGAAGTCACATGTGAAAGTGATCAGCCTAATCCCGATCACCAGCTGTGTTTAACCTACTTTGGATCGGGAACACTCGGCTCCCCTTGCCTTGGCTTTTGTTTGAACGGTATTAGCATGAACACGGGACGCATGCGGGAAGTCCGACCTACCAGAGTCAGAAACAATGGCTCCTGTGTTGATGTTTTGTCCTTATTTAGAGTGACATGCAAACTTTAAACCAGTCTGGTATGTGTTATTATGTCTCTTTGACATAAAGCATCCAATCTTAATCTGCTTGTTGTCACTGTGCCTGCCGCACAGTTCAGGTGATTAGAAATATAAACATGATACATTTATCTAAACCTTAATAACATAAATCCTTCAAAAAGCCCTTTAAAAACACTATACCAACACCTTTTTTAAATCTATTAACAATAGTAGTGCTCGGCTCAGTCTTGTCCG